AGGAGAAAGGGGGATGGGGGTGGGGGGAATTGGAGCTATTTGTTATACTAACAACACTAAAAAATATATTTGAAAAAAAATTTTTTTAAACTTCTGTGGCTCAATGGATACTAATATGGAAAATATATTGTTTGCCACATTTATATCCAAGAAAGAATTAAAATAGAGAAAAGATAACTAGTTCCTATACATTGTGAAGAGCATGATTGGCAACCAAATAGAAAAATTAAAAGAACAGACCATTGGAACCTATAATAAAATCACAAAAGTCTAAACAAGTAAAAGCAAACATAAAATATGCTTTACTTCGCCCTAGCCGGTTTGGCTCAGTGGATAGAGCGTCGGCCTGCGGACTGAAGGGTCCCAGGTTCAATTCCGGTCAAGGGCATGTACCTTGCACATCCCCAGTAGGGAGTGTGCAGGAGGCAGCTGATCGATGTTTCTCTCTCATCGATGTTTATAACTATCTCCCTTCCTCTCTGTAAAAAATCAATAAAATATATTTTTTTGAATCCTTTAAAAAAAATTACTACTTCATTAGTAATTAGGAAAAAGCAAATTAAAAACAAGATATCATTTCACACATAGCCATTTGGCAAAAATTAGGTATGTCTTACCAGCTGTGATAAATTGGTACAACTACTTCTGAAAGGAATTTAGCAAGGCAGCTAATAAAGCTTAAGTTGCTAAATTAATTAGAATCTCCATGTTGTAGGAAATGAGGGACTGGACTTTTTAAACACTTCCCAAGTGACCACAACCCAAGAATGAGAACTGTCCTAGAGAAACTATGACACATGTGCAAAAGAAAAAAATATATAAAACTATTCAATACAATAATTAAACAGCAAAATATGGAAACACATATGTTAATCAAGAGGAAAAAAGATAAATTCCATACATTTATACAATATAATAATTAAGGGTAATTAAAGTGAATGAACCAAACCTACATGCATTATCACAGATAAATCTATACAAAATAATGTGGAGCAAATGTTGTGCACTACAGTACAGTACTATGACATTTATGTAACACTAGAAATCCTACAAAAGAACACTACATATATTTTACAGACATACATTGATAGTAAAGGTATCACAAACACTCCTACCAAATTCAGGGTAGGAGCTGTTGCTTCTGGGTAAGAGGGTCAAGGATAAGAAGACAGAGGTGTACACAAGAAACTTCTGATATTATACATATAACTAGAGGCCCAGTGCACGAAATTCATGCACTCGGGGGGTTCCCTCAGCCCATTCTGCACCCTCTCCCAGTCCAGGAGTCCTGAGTGCTGCCCACCACCGCTGCTGCGCTTGCCAGCGGTGAACTCGGCTTCTGGCGCACTGACCACCAGGGAGCAGCTCCTGCATTGAGCATCTGCTCCTGGTGGTCAGTGCATGTCACAGCAACCAGTTATTCTGCCGTTTGGTCAATTTGCATATTAGTCTTTTATTATATAGGATGATTTATTTATTATTAAAAGGGGAGTGGAGTAAAAAAGACAAAGCTAAGCTTCAACAAATCTACTGGTAGGTACATAGTATTCCTTATATTATTCTCTATACTTTCACGTATGCCAAAAACTTTTTTTTTCTTTTAAGAATTAGAAGGCTATTGTCTAAGACAGGGGTCCTCAAACTTTTTAAACAGGGGGCCAGTTCACTGTCCCTCTGACTGTTGGAATGCCGGACTATAGTTTAAAAAAAAAACTATGAACAAATTCCTATGCACACTGCACATATCTTATTTTGAAGTAAAAAAAACAAAACGGGAACAAATACAATATTTGTATTTGCATGTGGCCCGCGGGCCGTAGTTTGAGGACCCCTGGTCTAAGACAAAGTTCCCAGGCTAAGAAATGAACCTGCACTGAACGTATTTTAAAGCAGAGCTCAATATCAAGAGGCAAAGGAGATAGCACTCCCCCATTCACGAAGAAACAAAGCCACACCCACCCTTTGTTTTGTTAGGGGCCAATGAACATCATTCCAAGATCTGTGATATGAGTAAGTCAATTTTGGAAAGCATTACTTTTGAGGAATACAGTAGCCACAAACAGAACAAGATTAAAACTTGATGATTTCTGACCTTGAGTTTCCTAGGTTTGAAATAGTTTGAAATATACGTAATTCAACAAGTGAGATATATACACATTGAAAATTTCCTGGAGAAAATAAGTCATCTGGATTAATATAAAATCTTGAATCTTAATACTGCCATTTAAAATAGACAACCCCCCCCCCCAAAAAAAAGGTTTTTTTAACTTTTATTATAAATCCTCAAAATCTTAAAACTTAACACTTTTAATTCCAGAATTTTTAACTGCTTACAGTCTGGTTGGAATACTAAATGATTATGCAATCTGAATAATATATTTCTAGAATAATAATTATACCTTTTCATAGATGTACACTATTGAAAGAATTTCTTCCATTTACAGAATGCATCTTGTACTGTCTAAATAATTTCAACACTGAATTAAACATTAACAGGCAATTTGATTCTTGGCTAGTCTAAAACTGTAGTAAATGGGTAGAAAATATAATTTCACTTTTTTTATATCTATTCACAAAAGGAGATTTATATTTTGTTTTTAGGTTTACTTAATAACATTTTACAATATACTATCTTGTTTTACCACAGTTAAACTGTTTTTCTTTAGTCACTTGAAATAACTAAATAATCTAAAGACAAATGTGCAAAGTATTAGGCAGTAAGAGAAAAATGTACAAGCATTGACAAAAAAAAAATCAAATGAGTAACTTGAAAGTGTCACAATTTTTCTTTCCTACTCTAAGGCAATAATACTTTTTATTTGTTAAAAACATCTATTATCTCAGTGACAATCCATTTAGAAATTATAAAAGGTACTTACATTGAATTTAATTATGTCGTAAATCAAATATCTAGGTACAGCTTGTCCATTTACTTTATCAATAATCATTTCCTTAAAAGAGAAAAAAGAAAAGTTTCTTCATTCTTTAACAACAATTTGTTTAATTTCACTGAAATGTAATAGACACACAGAAAGTACATAAACCATCAAAATACAACCTAATGAAATTTCAAATGAACACACTTATAATACCCAGATTAAATCAATATTCTCAGCACCCCAAAAATTCCTATCATGAATTCATTCTGTATAAAATAAAGTGATATTATAATATCTGCTCATTATATTTTTATATTTGAATTACTATGCTATGTTTTGTTTTATGTTTGAATTTACTAAGCAACTATTAGGATAAAAAAAGACTACAAATTTTAAATGCCAAATATCAGGAACATTTAAAAAATAACTTGTTAAATCATTATTGCTTTATATTTTGCTATGTACCAATTACTTTAATCATAAAATCTGTAGATATAAATGGTACCCTTATAATAGATACAATCCCCATACTACACATGTGGTCTTTCTTGGTTCCACGTGCCTCTAATATCATCAAAGGGAACAGGAAAAAAGAATATGATACCACATATCACAGCCGTTAAATAAAAATAATGTAAATTCTGCCCTCTCACAGAAAAGAGATAAAGGATACTAAAGAATGATTATAGGTATATAATGTAGTATTTTATAAAATTTTAACTTTTAATAATAGGTTTGACCGAAAATTACTTTACTTTCCTCATATTCTTCCTAGGAAATTAAATGGGTTTTTTAAAATAATTTCATGCCCTGACCGGTTTGGCTCAGTGGCTAGAGCGTCGACCTGCGGACTGAAAGGTCCCAGGTTCGATTCCAGTCAAGGGCATGTACCTTGGTTGTGGGCACATCCCCAGTAGAGGGTGTGCAGGAGGCAGCTGATCGATGTTTCTCTCTCATCGATGTTTATAACTCTCTATCTCTCTCCCTTCCTCTCTGTAAAAAATTAATAAAATATATTTTTTTAAAAAAACATTTTAAAATAATTTCATGACAGAAAATCCACATATAACCATCTAAAATTACAAAGAACACACTGATTTAAGACAAATATTACAATTAACTTCTTTCTCAAATATGTGTTTTGTTAAGCACAGACACTTATTGTCTTGAACACAACTCTTTTTTTATCTTTATACTAGAGGCCTGGTGCACAAAATTCGTACAAAGAGGGGGTCCCTCAGCTTGGTCTGCGCCCTGTCCAATCCGGGACCCCTAGGGGGATGTCCGACTGCCGGTTTAGGCCTGCAGGATGGGGCCTAAACCAGCAGTCGGACATCCCTCTCGCAATCCGGAACTGCTGCCTCCTAACTGCCCTCCCCTGCCGGCCTGGTCATCCCTAACCACTCTGCCTGCCTGCCTGATCGCCCCTAACTGCCTCTGCCTGCCGGCCTGATCACCCCTAACCGCCCTCCCCTGCCAGCCTGATTGCCCCTAACCCCTGCCAGCCTCATCACCCCTAACCGCCCTCCCCTGCCAGCCTGATTGCCCCTAACCGCCCTCCCCTGCCAGCCTTATCACCCCTAACTGCCCTCCCATGCCAGCTTGATCGCAAGATGTCAGGTCTATACGGTCTAAAGCATATTACCCTTTTATTAGTATAGATAGCACTTTATTATTTGAGATTATGCTTGACATAAATTATATCACTTTCATTCTTTTAAACTGTTCACTGAAATATGTTAATTTAAATACATGTATCTAAGAATTTTATGAGTCAATGAGGTGGTATCAGTAATAGGTTTCAATTAATTATTCTTTACAAAACTGGGTGGACAGAAATTAAGTGGCCTTCCAAGTTCAGACAGCAGATATCACAGAATTTCCCTCCCAAATTACCTGACAAAATGAGCAAAAACATACTTTTCTTTAAACATTAAAAAAGGCAAAAAATAAAATGTATTATCAGCAAACAAAACAAATAAAAAGGAATGAACAAATGAATAAGCTTTAAAATTGACAGCCACAGAAATTACCAAGATTCTGGTAAAACAAAAAGGCACAGCAGGGTTCAGCTCCAAGCTCTACTTGTAAAATGACAGTCTTAGTAATTATCACTATTATACTCAAACATAGAAAGATACAAACACAGTGGTTATTCTTGTCTTCTTTTTTCTACCTCTTCTAATGTGTAGAGTAATAAAAATAGCAGACTATTTCTGCTCCCAGACTTCATGCTGAATTGAAGAAATAATCTGAGCATTACTGGAATAAAATATGGTTCCTGACTAGCCAAGAAAATATTCACCAAGGTTTTTAAAAGAGAACAGAACCCAGATATTCTAACAAAGACCCAATAAATACCAAGAATGATTCTTTCCAAGGAGTCCCTCAACACAATGTACTCTTCACCACAGCTGCCATTGTCATAAGCTACAGAAAAGTAAGTAGACATAAAATACATAAGCTTAAAACTTAGTTAATCGGAAACCTTGTACACTGTTGGTGGGATTGTAAAATGCTGCAGCCACTATGGAGAATAGTATGGTAGTTCCCTCAAAAAATTAACAATAGAACTATCATATGATCCAGTGATCCCACTTCTGGGTATATATCCAAAAGAACTGAAAGCAGGGTCTTAAAGAGATATTTACACACCCATGTTTATAGCACCACTATTCCAGTACCTAAGAGGCAGAAGCACCCCAAATGTCAGACAGATAAATAAATGTGGTATATATATAGTGGGATAGATACTACTGAGCCTTGAAAAGGAAGGAAATTATCACCAGCTATAACATGGATAAACCTTGAGGACATTAAGCTAAATGAACTAAGCCAGTCACAAAAAGACAAATACTGTATGATTTCAGTTATATGAGGTATCTAAAGTAGTTAAAGTAGTTAAATGCATACAAATTAAAAAGTAGAATGGTGCCCTGGCCAGTGTGGCTCAGTGGATGGAGCGTCGGCCTGCAGACTCAATGGTCCTGGGTTCGATTCCGGTCAGGGGCATGTCCCTTGGTTGCGGGCACGTCCCCAGTAGGAGGTGTGCAGGAGGCAGCTGATCGATGTTTCTCTCTCATCGATGTTTCTAACTCTCTATCCCTTTCCCTTCCTTTCTGTGAAAAATCAATAAAATATATTTAAAAAAAAAAAAAAAGTAAAATGGTGGTTGCCATGGGATAATGGGAAGCTATTTCACTGGTATAGAGTTTTAAATTTACATGACAAAAAGTTCCTGAAAAGAGCCTTACAACTGTTCCAACTTATTCTTAAGGAGAGTTTCTGGAATTTGATGCAGGCAGGGGGATCCAAGGAGGAGCCCATCTAGGTGATGAAAATATTCTGGAATTAGTATTACAGTCACACAATCTTTTTTTAAATATATTTTTATATATTTCAGAGAAGAAGGGAAAGGAAGAGATAGAAACATCAATGATGAGAGCCATTGATTGGTTGCCTCCTGCGTACCCGCCGCTGGGGATCGAGCCCACATGATCTGAAATCAAACACTGACCTCCTGGTTCATAGGTCTCTGCTCAATCACTGAGCCATGCCAGCCAGGCACAATCTTTTGAATATACTGAATTTAATTATACTTTAATTTTAAAAAGTAAAACTAAATTTTTTATCCTAAAATCAGTTCTTCAGAATAAAGAAAAATGATGGAATCCCAGATACACAGCATATACTAAATGTCAGTAGAGACCTAGCTGGTTTGGTCAGTGGATAGACAGAGTGTCAGCCTGCAGACTGAAGGGTTCCGGGTTTGATTCCGGCCAAGGGCACATGCCTGGGATGCGGGCTTGATCCCCAGTAGGGGGCATGCAAGAGGCAGCCGATCAATGATTCTCTCTCATCATTGATGTTTCTATCTCTCTCTCCCTCTCCCTTCCTCTCTGAAATCAATAAAAATATATTTTAAAAAATGTCAGTACATACATGTTGATTATACATGTTTTATTAATATAGATACAACAAAGTTACTAAAAGAAAGTACATCAAAATGTTAAAATGTAATCTATTCTTGATAGTTGAACTTTTCTACTTTATAATGTACTGACTTACTAAAAACTTTTAAATGAGCATGCATAATCCTTTATTAAAAACTAGAGGCCCGGGAAGAAAGTACAAAATGTTAAAATGTAATCTATTCTTGATAGTTGAACTTTTCTACTTTATAATGTACTGACTTACTAAAAACTTTTAAATAATGATGCATAATCCTTTATTAAAAACTAGAGGCCCGGTGCACAAAAATTTGTGCACTCGGGGGGGGGGGGGGGGGGGGGGCCCCAGCCCGGCCTGGGCCCTCTCGCAGTCTGGGACCCCTCAGGGGGTGAGG